TTTTTGTTTAGTGAAATTATTTTTTCTATCCTAATTGGACGTTTGAACATAGTTTCACCAAAAAAGAAACCGTCATTTGGTGCAACAATTCCTCATTGGAGTTTAGACTAGATTCACTGCTACATAATTATATGCAAGAAATTCATTGAGTTTATAAAGAGAAATTTTACTTAACCTGATGTTTTCTTACATGAAAACTATATATATATTTTTTTTCAATCTATTGCTGATACCTCAATGTGATGATCGGGTGAATGAATTTTCTATAAAAAATTCAGAACGAAAAATTCGGCAAAATCAGCTTTAAATAAGTATAATATTAGAACTAAACCTTATTATTATTATTACTATTATTTGTAAGTTTAGATCTTCAATTTAATAATTTTTGAATTGGAAGAAGGAAATTCATTCCTGGTAGACACTACACATCGAATTAGTACCAACAATCTCCGCGTTGTTACTAGAAATGTAAACATTTAGAATATTGATTAGTCGATTAATCGATTAATCGATTAGTTGGTGTCTAAAAAGTTCAGTCGATTAATTGTCAACCAACCAACTAATCGATTAATTTCGATTCGATTTGTATCACTAAATCATACCCCGTTCACAAGCATACTACCCATTCACGACGTACTACCTCATTCACTCACGACATCCATCTAACAGCAATACAATCTTTAGGCAGTACAACTCCTGCGTTATATAGCCGTAATGCCGTGAGTAGTTGATTACTAGGGTTCTGCAAATGCCGTGCCGGCACATGTGGCACTATACTGGGCATAGTGCCTCGTGCCGTGCTTAGTGCTAGTGCCTAAATATGTGCCTGGCATGTTTTAGGCAGGCGCTAGGTGTCTTTCCTCTGCCCGTGCCTTACGTGCCGAGCAAATTTAATATTACGGTTACTTACAGGCAACTTTAAGTCAAGTCATATACATGATGTATTAATTGAGTGTCAGGAATGTTGCCAATGTCATGCCTAGTGCCGATGCATAAGAAAGTGCCCGGGATTTTCAGGCAAGCACTAAGTGCCTACGCCTATGCCCTAAAGATTTTGTTAGGCACAGGCACATGCCGGGCATGCAGAGCCCTATTGACTACCTTAATATATGTCGGAGATGATGCTGAGAATTCGAATTATTTTTAATATAAAAATTTAAAAAGTTTTTGTACTATTTTTTTTGGCTTTTTTTTTTAGTTAGACCTGAATTTAGGGTTAGGGTTTATAGTAAAAGAGTATATTTGGATTTAGATTGAAAATTGAGACCCCAAATTCTCAGCATCATCCCCAATAAATGTTTTCATCATTAAGTATAACTAGCAGGATATGACAGCTAAAATTCATAGTGCTTCAAATGTATAAATAAGCCTTGATATTGTAAAAAGCAGTAGCTCAATAACTCAACAAAAAAATAGAGTAGTCGTGTTTTCATACACGAATAACACGAATAAAATCATAAACTGCTATACTACTACTTTTTGTCTTCATATGCCTTCAGCCGTTTGCCTCTTTCGTAACTGCAAATCACTAAATCCTCTTAACGCTTAACCCTATAATTTACTTAATCATAGACACGGCAGTGCTACCAAATCGTCTAATCTATCCGTCTCTAGAGTAAATTAGGTATACCGAACTTAAAATAAGAGGTAGTCTGGGTGTAACAGATATATCTCATAAACAAAGAATCTGATTGGTCTGTCTGATCAAACCAACCAACCAGATTTTTTGTTGAGCTCATTGCCCAAAGTAACACAAAGTCGAATTGAGTATAAAAAATTGAGTGAATCGGAATAAAAATACCGTCATTGGGATAAAAATGCCAATTTATGATTTAAAGTTTGATAAATATAGTTCATTTCGACAGATTTATTCACACCTGGAAAAATAATTTCTATAACATAAAACTGAAATCGATTCTCAGCATTCTGTTTTATTAATTATTACAAATAAGTAGGATGGAGGCTAACGTTTCAGTACCAACAATTGAGACATCATCGCATCCGCCTCCACACGCTTTCAAATTGTTTCTTGTAGATATAAGTGATGTATGCATATATTATAATGCAACTTATAATATTTATTGAACAAAATAGAAACCGTTTGATTTTTTTCTCTAGGAATTAGTTCAAGCATGGACTCATGAACTCAAAAAACTTCCAGCTAAAGTATCAACCAACGATTCGGCTCAATGCTTGAAAGTTCAAATTCACAATGAAACTTTTCAAACTTTGTTAAAAACTAACCAGGCAGAATGTTTGGTCTCTCCTGCAAATAGTTTTGGATTAATGGATGGTGGTATAGATTATTATATTTCAGAGTACTACGGTGGTACCGATAAACTCATTCCAGTTGTACAAAAGGCGATAGATTTTGAATGGTGTGGTGAACAAAATGTTGGTACTTGCTTATTGATTGACGTTCGAGAGCTAGCTACAAGTGAAAAAAGATGTTTTCCAGAGTATATAGCTCATTGCCCTACCATGCGACTACCTAAACGTTTGGATGAAGATGATATTGTTTACAGATGTACTTGGGCCATGCTCACTGCCGTTAGAAAGCATAATGCTAAAATACTTGAAGAAAACAGTAAACATCAGCGTATAAACGCTGTTGTATGCGCAGGATTTGGGACAGGTGTTGGGAAATTTTCGGAAAAGATATGTGCCAAACAAATGATGTTGGCGATTAATCATTTTGTTAATGCACCTACAAATACGGAGCAAAGGCCTACAACTGGATCATGGTTGATAGAATGGTCATATGCCATTGAGATTAATAAAGCAATCGATAATAATTAGATATAAAACAGATGGTATATATTGTAATGAGGGTGTGTATTTAGAGGACAAGTTATGTAAAGTCTTATAAGCTAGAACCAAGCTAGATTGTGCATTATATAGTGAGTACATTTATAAAAGGTGCATTTTAGCTATGATGTGTATATAGGGAGGTTTGGCCGCGACTAGTATCATTTATCAATCTGAATCAGAATCAATAAATAAATATAGTATTGAAATGCAATAAAATTTATAAATGCTTATATAGAAACTGAATATGTAATGGAAATAATCAAGAAATTAATTGGGACTCTAAAATTTCATTCAACACATTTGAGACAGTTTCTTCCGTAGTACCATCTGAATCATCGGTATGAAGAAATGGCCAATCCTTAAGTATTTTATTTTCTGAAACAGTTCGCCAATTAGGAGATGCCTGTTGTTTTAACCAATTAAAGTCTTCGACCTTATCAGATTTGTTATTATTTTGATCTAACTTAGCCGCCTATAAAAAAGTGTGCATAAATTGTGTTAATATAAATTTAATATAAACATATGCTTGATCAAATATTGGCTTAACCTCAAACATATTGCCCAAGCCAGGAATCGATAATGTATAAGGTGCAAACAAAATATTATGGCAATCTTCGATTATGGGGTGACTTGTTGTGTGAAGATAAATAGTCATTTGCCTGGATGTATGCATTCGGAACTATAAAGAAATTAATCACTATTTCACAAGCATTATTCGATTTTTTTTTTTTAAAAAAAAATATTTAATCTTACCTGATGGCATCCGATCAAGAACACACATCTCTCACAGTCATAAATCAAAATCGAGCTTCTAACAGGACCTGCCATTATAATAGTATCCTTCAATCCTTTAATATGTATCGCACCTATAACTACATTAGAATTTACAAGGTTCACAATACAATGGTCTAAATTCGAAATTTGAAAATCCATTACTTTTTCTTCTGACTTTTCCAGATTTGTTAAATATGACTTCACACTGATATAGCAATTTTGTTTATTATCTAGAGTCACTGTTTGGAAGTTTTGATTAAGTGACGTGATAGTAGGAACAATTTCATTATGTGAAGTAACAACTTCCAAGTCATTGTTTATGATTTTGTTCGATTCAGCTGACACACTTTTTTCTGTTGAACCCGTTGTTTTTCTCGATTTAAACGAAAATTTGTTCTTCGGAGTCAATTCTGCCTTTTTTCTGTCAAGATCTTCAGTTAATGCTCTTATTTGCTATAAATTAATATAAAAAAAAAAGTAAATAATAAATGAATATCTATTATGTGAAAGTCTAAGGATAGGAATCAAAGCCGTTAGTCGACTAATCGACTGAAAAAATATTATTTTATTACAGATAATATAACAAGTTTGAGTGGTTACATAGTTAATTAGTCGATGGGTTGACTAATCAACTATTTAGTCGATTTTTAGTCAGTTGATAACTAATAGTTTTAGTCAACTGACTAATCGATTAAAACTTTTGGCCGATACAAATCCTTATATGAAAGATTTATAAGATTTCGATTTACCAAAATTGACTGCCTTTGGTCGTAAGGAGGTAAAAATCTTGAAGCATCTGTAGTTTTTTTTTCAAGCTCACTTATACGCTGTAATAATCCATCACACAATGAAGGAATTGATGATCTTGATTTTTGTGATAATTCATTCATGGACCCTTGTATTGCTTTATTGAAAGAAATCAGGAAGTCAAGAAAAGATACATAACATTAATGCGTAATAGAGGAACAAGAAAACGCAAAGAACATACTATCTTGCACATATGTTTTCTTATAGATATTCTTACCTCCTCGCTCTTCCTGAAATTCTTGCCAAAACTTATAAGCAAAGGTTTCTTTACTCCGTTTTACTACTTGTTCTTTGTCCTTGGAAGAACTCATTTTCAATACATCAAACGTTAAAAAAATCCAAACTGCGCTTTTATCATTAATCATGTCCCAGGTAACACGAATCATTCTTATAGACGTGATTGGCTGATGCAAATCAATTAGCTAATATCGTGACATTAATTAAAAAATGTAGCTTGTACCGAAAATTTATCCAAATTACAAAATTCCCTTTTGATTTTCAGGGCAGTTTGACCCTTTCTACTGCAAAGGCACCACATACTATAGATCATATAATAAATTTACTTCCGACAATATCAGAATTAAACATCGAAATCATTTTATTAATTGGTAAATTCTAAACTTTAATACTCGTGAGATAATACAGATATACCTATAAAAAATTATACTTACGTACTTGAATCGGTTTAATGCAGTAGAGCAAGTTTCATGATTTTTATACAAATTAAAGCATAATTTATCAATAAAAAATCTTAATAAACAATTTAAAATGGCTCTATTACATTAAACTACATGCTAAAACGATTCGAATAAGTATAATTACCCAGGTATATTCTTTATTAATTAACGAGTTTTTTAAAGTTTAGAATTTACTGTGATTTGCTACGTATAATAAAAGAGATTTACTATGTATTTGATTGTAGATCGTATGATATTTCACATACCCTAGTGATTCGTTTGGAGTATATTTAGAATGATATTTTAAATTATCTTACTCTAAAAGGTTCACATATCAATATGATTTTAAAACAGGATCCAACTGTCATGGTAAATTATCAATAGGGTCAAAATTATATTTGACTTAAACTATTTTTAATATGGGTACACCAAAGATTTTAATAAAAAACAATTAATGACAATAAGAATTATTGGTTTTGTTTTGGTAGTGACATAAGGATTTTTTTGTTCTGGAAAAAAGTTAGCGATAATTTAGTTGTAAGTTTGCAATAGAGTTAGTATGTGTATTGATATTGATACTGTAGTGATTGAACCCGGGTATACCCAGGTGGGTCAGATATCCGAGTTATGATTATGTCCACCCGGATAGGCTTGGACGGGTTGACCCGCGAGTCTACCCGTGAGCAAACCCGCGGGTCCAGTGTTTAAAATTCAAAAAAAAAAATCACTTGCACAAATGCATTTTGTGCACAAATTTTACTTGCACAATGGATTTTTAAAAAATCTCCAAAAAATTCTTACACATGTTGATCTTGTGCAAGCCAATTTTAAACACTGCGCGGGTCACCGTGGGCCAACCTGCGGGTCCATCCTAGAGTGTCCAGGATCATGATTCGCATAATATTCGCATAATTCACATTAAATATCCAATTTTAATTTAAAGAAATTCGCATTTTCACCTTGAAGAAATCTCTATTGGTCAATTGGAGTTACACAGAATCATGTCATAAAGTCAGCATACATTATACTCTAACGCTGGCCAATTTTGGACCAAACTAGATGTACTGTACTTTCAAAAACCACAGCTCCGAATTTAGAGTTATTGACTACACCATTCTAACTTGTTATAGCATTGATAACGATTATATGCCAATTACATTCATGCTTATAATAAAACATTTCTAATAAAAACTTCGAACCTTTAGGTTAGGGGCGGGATCTATCAAAGAAGTTCTTGTACTGTATATGACATAGTATTCAAAGATTTAATAAATTTTTTATTCTAACCCGGATTTGACGGGTAATCTTTGTACATACCCGGGTAGACCTGCCTGTCTACCCGGGTGACCCGCCTGTCTACCCGGGTGACCCGCGGGTCTACCCGTCGGGTAACCCGGGTTGTACTTTTTAAGACGGGTTCAATCACTACGATACTGTTAGTAATACCGTAATAAATAGTTATCAAGCGGCTTATTATGATTTTCTGCCCAATAATAAAATTATTGGGCAGATGTAAAATTTAAACTATTTTAAACTATTTTAAACTTTCGTTTCTGCCCAATAATTTTATTATTGGGCAGATAAATCATATTAAGCTGCCGGATAATGTATACTTATCAGTACATTGTTTGATATTTGAATTTGTATATAACTTCAATTTAAATAAACAGTTGCAATGATGGTATAAATAATATCAGGATTTATTGTTATTAAACTTTTTGATACCATCTTTATGCGATTCAATTTGGTGTCACCATAATCGACTCATATATGTTTAGTTATTGTATTGTTTAAATGTCGTATCTGTTCAAATTATAGGGTTTTGATTTGAGCAAAAACTTTGCAAAATAGATATTTATATTGATTGCGGGTAATTTAAATTTAATGCTATCACTATCATCAGTATTGTTTCAAATAAAAATAAATTAACATCTTAATTTCAACAGGTAACCATGAAAAATCTTTATATGTCGCTATTACATGTAGACAATTAGTAGTCAATCATGAATTTTGAGCTAATTCAATAAAAGTCACTCGCATATTATCACTGCAGAGCTTTGCTTATTATATAATCGTGAAGATTAGAAATGTCAATCTGTTATCCAAAATGACATCCATGAGCGTGCTTAGAATAATGCGCATGTATTCATAATAATATGTTATTTCAAGAGTTTACGTACATAGTTTGATAGTTTTGATTTTTATTATCCCTTCTAATAACTGCAATGTATCTATCCTAAAGCAGTTTTTAATCGTGCATTGGTTTAAATAATTTCCAATAGCACAGCAGTAAACTACCTAAAAGATCACTTTTATTTTGTATAATTGGTCAAGAATCACAAATATAGTAGTGTGGGATTTAAATTCATGTCAAAAGGGTTATGCTAAATGACAAGCATTGGGATTAAATTTCTTTATTGAACTTGAACCGATTAATTTTATAATAATTTAGCTGGTTATAACTGATAATGAACCGTTAATGAACCATTAATGTTCCTAATTACAATTTGTAACTTATAAAAACTTATTTCGATTATTACATTATGATTTCTACAAATTTTGTTAATGCTTATTACAATATTCTAAAAATAAACTGTTTAATAAGAATTTATTGATTTAAGAAAAAAAAATCTTTAGAAAATACTTTATAAAATTGTTATATAAAAAAGAATGCTTTAAATAACTTTTATAATGTGAATTTTCATATATTAAATAAATATCCAAAACAATTAATTTATTAAAAGTTTAAAATACAGTGGGAATTTTCGTACCTTTTACGTAGTATTCATTGTAATATAACATTTTTACAAATTTAGAAGCGGAACAAATTTACCAAAAGCCACTACTGTACGTTCAAGGATTAATTAATTAAATGTTCAAACAATGCTTATCACAGCCTGATCTTGACATAATTAATCAATAAAACAAAATAAAATAAATTACCGCTACCATAATTTTATCTAAGCCTCGACTGAACATTAACCAAGAGAATTTCTTCCGTAACATTTTAGGGTATTAAAATAATTACAGTAACTTTCCTTAGCCTCATTTTGAAACGGAATTCGTTAATTTCTAGAAGGACAAAAGCCACAAGTTATTACAAATGAAGCCTCAAATTAACGTAATCGGTTGATTATAAATGCGAAGAATAAGTTACCAAAGCCACAGAAAAATAAGGCAAAAAAATAAATGCGTTTCCCTATAATATCATAAATATCATAATATTGTCGCATATGAAGTAGCGATTTATCTAAAGTAGCCACTTTATATATCTAAAGTAGTGCCCTGGCTAAAATTATGACTTAATGCATGCATGAAGATCTATCTAATTTCAGGGGCTTAATTTTAGCCAGGAGCTACTTTAGATAAATCGTTACTTTACTTTAGATGCAACAAATTGTCATAAAAATAGATGTCAAATTGAATTCAAAATCTAAGCCGTTATAAGAGAAAACGAATGCTCCCATCTCTGCAATAACAAAGCCTAATAAAATGGACTAAGTAATTTTGCGCAATATCCTGTGCATTGCGTTGAATCTTATATCGAACAGAAATTCCGTGTTTTAAATTTCTTCGTTGCAATACTTTTTAAAATAAGGTGGCTTTTACATCTATTCAAACACGCGTATTCATCTATAATCGATTGTAAGCCACAAATGTTCCGGAGTAAAATTCTTTACGAAGTAATACGTGAAAACATCTATATAAACCCCGTTAAGCTGACCTCTGTCTTAACATCAAACAAACAGAAATTAAAAGAATATTGTCAAAGAAAAATATAATATATATATATATATATTTAATATAATTAAAAAAATAAGAAAAATGAAGTTTCCTTCTGTTAGTTCTGTCGCCTTTTTCCTGGCTTTAACCACCACGGGCTTTGCGTTTCCTCATAGTAGGTATTCCTTTCATCTTTCATAATTTTTTTCACACAAGTATTGATGCTAAACGTCTAATTTTGTCTCTAATGTAGAACGTGGTGAATTAAAACGCGATGCAAATGCCGTACCTTCTTACTACAAGTCTTACGACGATTATGATAGCTATAGCTATGGCTATGGTGGTGATTATTATAAACGTGATGCTGCACCCTCTTACTACAAGTCTTACGACGATTACGATAGCTATAGCTATGGCTATGGTGGAGATTATTATAAACGTGATGCCGCACCCTCTTACTACAAGTCTTACGACGATTATGATAGCTATAGCTATGGCTATGGTGGAGATTATTATAAACGTGATGCCGCACCTTCTTACTACAAGTCTTATGACGATTACGATAGCTATAGCTATGGCTATGGTGGTGATTATTATAAACGTGATGCCGCACCCTCTGACGATTCTTCTCACGATTCTTCTGATTCTTCCCACGAATCTTCTGATTCTTCCCACGGATCTTCTGAATCTTCTGATTCTTCCCACGGATCTTCTGAATCTTCTGATTCTTCAAAGAAGAAGTCGTCGTCATCTTCTGACAGTTCAAAATCATCCAAGCATTCCAGACGTTGAAAAAGAGATGAAGAATAATTTGCTTCTTAATAGTGAGCTGGAATGTGACTATTACATACCCATTATTAACGTGTAAATTTGTTATACTCTCACAATGTAGATATTTCCTTTTTTTTTCGTCCATTTTTTATTTAAAAACAATTCTTTTTTGTATATTTCTTTTTTATTTATTGATTTTTAAAATAGATTTTTTTTGTTTTTGAGTAAAGTATAATGTCATTGTAATAAATTATTATATTTAAAAGTTCTAGTAAATATATTTCCTTGGCAATTAACTTAAGTCTGCTAAGAATGTTGAATGAGTGTTTTTGAAGTATTCTGAGTATCTAATAATATTCATAATTATAAAAAGTTTTCAATAATGAAATATGAAATCACAATGATACTTATCCACGAGTTTGCGAATCATGAAAGTTTTATAACACTTTTGATCACAATTTCTTGTCCATAAAATGATATGAAAATGAATATGACAGTTTTTTGTATCTTGATCATTGAAGTTTCGGACAGGGGTACCGAAAATTTAATTGCAATTAAATTATTATACAATTACGATCAAGTAAAATTGTTATAAACAACAATTAAAGTTAAATTAATTGTAAATACTTGTAATAAATTGCAATTAATAACAATTTGTATGTAACACTTGTATGGAACTTTTGCGCTCATTGAAACCAATTTTAAAAATAGAAATTTAGAGCGCTATTTGATATACGTGTCTTCGTAAATTGTGTATAAAAAAGAGATTGCTTGATATCTTTGATTTTTTTTACTCAATTACGTATGTTTTTTTAAAAAATTCAGTAAATATACTTTTACATATGTTCTATCACACATTTTTGCAAACTCCGGCAAAAATTGCAATTAATTGATTAATTGTGGTTGCGCTATCAATTAATTAATTGAGATCAAATAATTGCAATTAACTGCCTTCATAATTAAATTTTCGGTACACCTGGTTTCGGATAACGTTTAATTCTTTAGTCCAAAATTTCTGGAATTATAGATATTTAAAATATTACAAAAACTACTTGTACGTATTGCAGATAATGGAACATATTCGATGACCTTTATATATGAATTTTCAGATGATTTTATTATGAAAATTTTTATTATTATATTAAATTATATGTACGTATTTAAATTCTGTACGTAACTGATTTGGATGATTATGCTGCACCGCTAATTAAGAATAATACCAATTCATCGTTTTTTTTTTTTTGTTAGAGTGCTCGACTCGACTATCATTTAGTAAGAAAATGGAAGAACGAGTTTGAACAAGAATAAGAGAATAATTCTATTTGATTCATCTCCACAATCCAATATTTACAAGAAACCCTTTAGTTGGAAATTTAGAAAGTATTAGTGACAGAAACTTCAATTTATCTGAAGAATCCAAAAGAAAAACAATGCCAATAGTAGCACAGAAAAAGTCCATGGTATTAGTGGAAAAAGTGTGTAGATTTGATTATAGGTGTTTTTTTTAAAATACTTTATTATAACAAAATTTCAAGAGGGTAACTTCAATAACTTTGATCAAGTTGGTGTATGATAATAATAACCTTTATGTAAAAAATATATGCATACAATCAATGATAATGAAGTGGCGTATTCCAGAAATTCACAAACAAGAGTATGGCTTTCAAGAAATATTCTCAATGGTTTTTTTCTTATACTTATCATAGCATCATTTTGTAGTTTACTTCATTATATCATTGTCATCATCAAAGAAATTTGGGACAAGACAATGAAATCATATTATCACCGACTGCGGGTCTGTTTAAAAAAAAATTTCATATTATGAAAATCAAAAGAAATGTATTTTCACATAATGATAATAATTTTCAAAAAACTGTACAATATCAAACTTTTAATTACTAATAAATCTTTTTATTTCATTAATTTTACTTTTTTGATGATGTTTCGCTTACTCCAAGCATCTTATGGTTAATAATTTTTCGAATTTAATTCAATATTTAAGTGTTTAAGTTGATCGCATACTTTCTTATGAATAATACAAGAATATCTATTGGCTTCCCAGATTTAAGAGTAATCATTATTTATTTCAAAGGTTATCTCCTACTATTATATTCGATATTTATAAATTATTGTTACTTTTAAATAAATTAGTGAATTAGTATGTTTAGTCAATTAAGATCAATAATACTTTGAAATATTTTAAATTGCTAATCGATATTCTCCAAAGTATAATGTTACTATTCTTTAAGACATAGTATGTACAATATTCTGATATAAATATTCGGCACTTTATGATACTTAAATACTATTTTACAATTATTAACACAAGCATTGTAACAACTACATAGTACAGGTACTTGTCTTAAAATGTTCGATTTTGACTAATCTTTAAACACGATAACAAGCTGTAGATAACAAGTTGTAGATAACAAACTGTAAACAGTTCAACTCATGTTATAATTTTATATAGCAATAGAATAAAGATTTATTTCTCTAAATATACAAGATATGTACTTTGCAACCAACTATATATATCATATCATTTTAATATACAGATTTTTTAAAATCGCAAAGATAAATCAGATTTGAAGTTATCAAGTTGCATGCCTGTAGAGCTCTTCAAGTTCACCTTTTGAACTTTAACCCTCTTATTAGACATACACGGCAATTGTTTAAAATCATTATCTAAATCATTCTCAACATTCATATTTAAAATATTTTTCGAATCACTTTGTTGAGAATTTAGATTCGTAAAGAAAGAAATAACATTATCCAATTCTTCCTTAAATTTAATTAACCCATCATTAAGATTAATTATATCATCAACTACAACAACTGATACCGAATTCATAGAATTGTTTAAAGACATTGCGTGATTATTATTTGATGAAGTGTTTACTTGAATTTTGACAAATTTTGTCATAGCAACTTCTTGTAAAGTAATATTCATACCAACACCTTGAGTAGTTATATTATTTTGAGTAATGTCATTTAAAGTGACAATACTTGGAGTTGGAATAATAATGCTAACGGTAGAATTATTATAACCAAAATGATATAATCCAAGTATTGAAAAGAATCCAAGACAAGCCAAAAGGAATAAATTGAAGGACTTCTTTTGACTTTGATGTTGATGTGGATTCTTTAGAAAAAAAGCAAATGACGCGAGAAAACCGAATAAAGGTATATTAATAGTAATGGTTGATCGAAATCGAAATAACGTGTTTTTTTTGTCTTTATCAACATTTTTTTCAGATATTTCTTTAATCATAGATTTCTTTGAATGATAGTATGAAAGTTGCGCCTCGTTTTCCATGATTAAAAATATTTAACGTCAAGTTCGGAAATTATTTAAGAGATCTGTATTTATAGTTTAATAAACAAACGCGATTCTTTTCAAGTAAACAATGTCAAACAAGCCATGTGACATTTGATTAATAGAAATTTTAGAGTATGTTTAATATGTTTAGATGTATCAAAATTCACGTGATCTAATTCCCTAATTCTGCTTAATTATAACGATAGTGCTGGTTAGCATTAAAAAAATTTCGCTGTTTTTGGGTTTGTTTTGATTTTTTTTTGCGTAACGCCTGATCATGAAATCTGATTGGGCAGAGAAATTTTTTAAGTCGCTAAGACAATACAGTAACGATTGATAATGCACACGATTTCAATTGAATAATTAATTTACTGCTCTCCTAAATGTTCTAATACAATAATAATATACATTTTTTGATTATTAAAACTAAGAAAAAAAAAAAAAACAAAAAAAAAGTAATTTATATAAAGTCCAATTAACGTTTCCTGCCATAATATCCTTAACATCTACATTTATACATAACATCTATATTTATGTTTCACCTTATCTTTCAATTTTCGAGTCATTTTTGATATAACCATTAATCCTATCCGACTTATAACCACCATTAACGTTTTTAGATTCTTTATCGACCTTAACAATTCCATTAGTTTCTTTATCAACCTTTTTAGTTTTTGGTTTTGGTAAAATGATATCAAACAATAATAAACCAAAAACAGTCAAGTGACCTATCCAATATACAGAATTATAAGCAGAAATGACATGATCCCATTTCAATAAACCAAATGAAATGATAGCATAATGTAATGCACAAGTTTGACCAAACCAACCAATAAATAAATGTAAATATTTCCCAAACATAATTTTAGGATTAGAATTATTTTGAGAAAGATATAATGGTTTAGTATATCTTTCAAATCGTTTAGCCCATCGTTTTTCAGCTTCTATATCAAAAAATTCCAAACTAAAACAAAAATAATAACCAGAATGGAGACCATGCCAAAGAGCGAGGAATACTAATGATAATATGGAAGATAATTGTTTGTTTCCAAGAAAAACAAGTCGTTTGAATATGTAAAGTTTTGTCCATAGATTGGTGTTTGTGTTAAAAGAAGTAATAATTTGTGTAAGAGATGTAGCAAATTCAAAATTCCACTAAATGTAATGAATAAAGTGTGTTAAAAAATTTTTTTTAGTAATTTTCATTAGTAACATTCATACAAGTAGGATCGAATTGTTACCTTTTCAATGTTTGATAAACCATCCCATTTTGGATTTCCATTATCGTCGTAACCATTAAAAGAAATGCCTGACAGAATGCATGCACCTTCTGATAATGTCCAGATTCCAAGATACTACGGTATCAACATATATATAGATATGTTAACAACTTATAAATAATTAAAATATTGCTTAATTATTACTTACTTTTGAAAGAATAAATTTTCCAGTCCACCACATAATTATTAATTTATGAATAAAAGGTTTGGCGGCATATTCAGCGGTTAACAAATAAGATTGTGGAAAATATCCAGAACCAACTTGTTGTACACCTAAATATAGCGCACCAAGTAAGAAACTTTTCAATGCAAACCAATAACATCTTGGAGGAATATTTGAAGGATCAGGGTATAATGACATGGTAATGAATTTTCGATAAAGATGGAAAGAGAACTGTGGACCAATAAGGAAAGAACCAAAGAAATTCGCGTATCCAATAGTTTCAATTAAAGGTGGTAATGTTCCTAATTGAATATTCTTTTCGAATGAAATTGGTTGTTTCTGTGGACGCGTACTAATTGAAGAATCTGTTTGTTGTGAAACTTTTTTTGTATCAGTGTTCTTTTCGTTAGTATTAGTGATATTCTCTTTGACATTAACAGGTGGCTTGGACTTTAATAATTTTTCTCCATCCATGAAATCCATTGCGAAACCTATCATTCTTAAACAAAGAACGCATTGTGGCATAGTCCAGGATACATCATAGTCATCAGTCGCGGTCATGTAATAACCAACAAGGAGATAGGTCACGTTGAAAAGAAAGGAAGCAATGGCGGATAAAACTCGGTTCCGAAAAATACTTCCAAGATAACAGAATAGCCAAGTTACAATAGTAGTTATTAATGAATGTTTGATATGATGTCCATTGAAAAAGTAAGAAAGGGAAAGGCCCGTAATGACAACATAAAGATTACGAATAAATGGAGCCCATTTTGTTTTTAAAGGGCGAACGAGTGTTAATCTATATATGAGAGATATAGGATAAGCAAATAAAATTGTAAGTAATAATCGAAGAACTTGTTCTGATACACCAGTTTCTACACTAAGTTTTTTAACAAACATTTTTTTGCGTGGCAGAAAAAAATGAAAAAAAAGTTAATTAACAGACAAATATATATTGTAGATTTTTTTTTTTTTTTTTTTTATCTCGTGATTTGATTGTTCATCATTTCTTTTTAAAGATAAAAAGTCCCCAAAATATGGTGAATATCGATATTCTTTCTAGACTTAGTATTGTCGAAATTATTCATTTATTACATTATCATCACACAAAGTTAAGGATATTTAATTTGTTTTTAGAATTGTCTATGTATTGTGTGTGTATGCATTATAATACGTACGTATAAAAAATGCATATCCAAAATGTCTATTATTCCCTAATCTAGTAAAATTTCCTTAACATTTTAACGTATCAAGAAATCGAAAAATCAGAGATTATTAGTTCATACGTATGTATGTGCGTGCGTCTTTATTAATGTTTAATATCTAATGCTAACACTAATTTAAAGTTTTTTAAAATCGGTTCGTGCAACGCTAAATAACCATTGTTCTTGGATCTAAAAAAAACCATGAGTTATTTGATCGACTAACCAAATCTTAAATTATTAATCGACTCAAAGAGTCAAAGAATACGAAATGATTAAGAAAAATATGTGAAACGAATGTCATGGTGCACTTATTTATTTATATAATGTTATTATTACTGTAGTACTATATTCCTTTTCTAGGGTTACAAGTGATTTTTAGGGTTACAAATGATTTCGATGTAATTTAAACAAATTTTCTACGTATACCAATACATACCAAGAGCTTATTAATGAATTTTATATAGACTACTATATCGAGAGTAACATATCAGATACGTATCAGATATTAGTCTCCTTATTTAGCATCTAATTTTGTGATACTAAAGATATCAATATCGATATCTTTTTTTTTTTTGATTGCATATCAGATATTACGATTAAGGTTAATAGACATTAACGTTAATAAGAAACGGTGTCGTCAATTGGGTCTAATTTAGGGCTAAGCCATCCATGGAACATTCATGTGAAAATAGTTGGTTCGATTATGTATAGGCCAAGTAATTTTATAGGTAATAATAACCCATGACTTATCCTTTACTTAATATCAAGTAATACGTACTACGTACAGTACTAAGTAATTGTTACATTCTATTTGCGTATACATATGAAACACATGATAACAGTCAGAAGTGAGTAAAAATACGTAGAATGATCGTAAAAATCACCTATTGCAAAAAAATTTTTGAATAATATAAGTAATACACGTCATTCTGGTTATAACGACATCATAGCAAAATCTTTCTATACCAACATTTTTTTCAAAATTTTAATATAAAACGTTGGTACATTTTGAAAATTTTTTACGTACTAATGTCGATATAACCAGTGAAGTGTATTAAGTAAGAGTACATAATAATTTTCCCATATCGATATTTAAGTTTATTGTAGAAGATTGTCATCGTATGTTCTCACTATTCTCCGAGAACACTAATCAAATTTTAAGAACATAATTGAGAACATTAAATTAAGGATTGGACCCGGGTAGAAATTGTTGCTATATGATTACCCGGATAATAATGCCCGGGTAGAGATTTTCTCAACGGGTCTAATCTTTACATTAAATAGATTTTTATACAATTTTAATTTTTCTATATTAAGAACATTAAAAATGTTCTCAATGAAAACATAGTCAAAATTGAATTTCACACACTGATCGTTATCCTTGTTTTTGACGTCAAAATTACTTAATAGATAAACTGGTTTCATGGACTGACCATTAACTATGAGATCTAAATATTTGGTTACTTATTTTTGCTGACCCGCTTTATAAGTAACTTAAATCTAGTCTCGATATTATTACATTATGTCATTATTGATAGATATTTGTTTCTTGAATTTTTGCATCGAATAAGCTATTAGCAAGTTTTACTGTAACCCAAATTTGATATTTTTTGATCTGGATTCCCTGTTAAATTATGAAAATTTCCTTGATTTTAGATTTATTATTTAATAAGTATTTTTAAATTCTTGTTTAATTAATTATTTAAATAAAAGGTCTTATTTAGTTGATCTTTGGTTTGTATTATATATATATATTTTTTATATTTATTATAGAAATTTACTATTTTTACTTATCCAGTATAATGTTTATATAAAAGCTTTATATATGTCGTGTAGGTTGATTCCAAATAAACATAAGGTTATAATAGAATTATAAAACGTGTTCGAATCATTAAAGAATTCCAATTTAACTTACAGTAAAATTCATCGAGTACTTTAAATCGGTTTAAAATAGGTTTATTCAATCGTTAAATTTAAAAGCATTACATCTATGATTAGTGTGATGGAAACTATTCCCCCAGTATATACTTTTTTTATTTATAATAGATTTTTGCCGCAAGCATTTTTGCATTTGTATTTAATATTATTTACATGAGAAAAGGATTGCATAACAGACACTTCTTGAACACTTATGTGCGTTTGAAGAAAAATAAAAAATCAAGATAGTGAAATTTCAAATTTTTGATTCGTTATATCTGGAGTTCATTATAATATTGACTGTTATCTAATTCTGAAAACTTGTAAGTAATTCTAATAATACCAGATTTGTAACCAAGCTCTATATATCATTCTCCAAAACTTCAAGGGTTGCAAGAAGTGTCATTGATCTTTGTACTTGTATTTGCTGAATCTTGTAAAACCTTAACACAAAAATCAAAAGTCTTCATATGTTATAAAAGGTTTTGGGTCAGCTACTAATCGATTTACAGCTAAGATATTCCTGTATTCAGAAAAGCAATTCTTCGAATCCATTATGAGTTAAAAAATGGATGATCTTGAGACTCTGTTATCGGATAGAGTTTTGCAAAGGACGAAAACGAAAAAAAATAATAAATTTGTAATTTTTATTTTGACAATTTATCATAACGATATGATGTAATTTATTTAACAATGTTACGTTAAAATCAACTTGATATGTATAAGATATTGGTCATGCAACGATTAATATCATGAAATTTGTTTTGTCGGAGCAAATGATTGGCTGACATGTGCTGCGTAGCGGCACGTTTCAGCCAATCATTTGCCCCAACAGAACAAATTTTATGATATTTATCATCGCATGATCCAATATCGATGTTATCGTGCAATTATGATCATTATTTACGAGTCGTGGTTGGCTAACTGAGTTTTAATTTGGAATTGTTATGCTTACGTGGTAACGTACAAAAAATAACAAGAAGAAAAAAATCTATGATCATAAGAGTTTGCACGATAACATCATTTAAATTGCCGTATAACCATAAACTTCGTGATATTTATCATTCCGTTCCTGGTATAACGGAAGTATTCACTGTCACTGCGCTGTGGTAGTTCATTTCTAGTCCATATTTATGTGTTTGCTAATTTTACATATTATACTTTTTTGACCAATCACATTACAAAAATGGAGTATAGATAACGATAACCTGAAAAATAATCAAATACATCCAGAGGTCGTTATAAGAAGCTTGGTTAGCTGTATTTTAATTTTCTATTGGTCAGATTGATTTGTCAACGATTTCGTCAATCGTCAACGGTTTTTTTTTTGATTGTCAGGAATATAATTTGACGAAATCTTTTGTCAATTCAAAAATAGTTTCATCAAGCATCTTTAACCTATGTTTCAATTTCTTTCTATTATGGCTGCAATTCTCTACTGTGGGTCAAGATATGATCTGTAGAGGTCACACCTTTTTGCAGACCGTAGTAGAAGTAATAATCAGATCAAAGTAAATTTATAAACAATCGAAGTGAGAATTTAAGGATATTTTATTATTATTGATTAATTATAGTAACATTAAAATTTTCAAACAATTTGAAAAATTAAAATTTTAAAGGTATATGAAGTTGTTATCACTAAGTTGACACTAATAAAGTCCAGGTAGCCAAGATAGATTAATGAGATAAATTTAATTGAGAACTAGTAACTAAACTCTTTAATAACTATATTAGAATCATTCTTTTACTTATTAAGGCAACTATAAAATTATAATAATAATAACAATTATATAATTATAATTAATGCATTTATTATGTTTTACACATTAAAATATTATTATTTAGGAACTGCGAACGAGGCACTGAATCTAAACGAATCAATATCAAAAATTCCTCTTACACACTCCACTTTCTCCACGTGTTTTGGAACTGATAATTCAAAAACATGTTTTCTGTCAGAGAAAACTCCTTTCTAAAAAATTGGTTAGAATAAATTTAATTTAAATAATGATTAGAAAAAAAAGGATATAAAGAATTAATAATATAATGAATTAATCATTCACCACATTGGTTTCATTAACTGTTACACCATTTTTGCAACTCATTCTTTTAAAAACCAATTCTAAAAAGATAATTTTTAATAGGAATCATTATCATCAAGATAAATAATACAAGATAATTTTACTTTTTTCCCTACGTACCATCAGAATGCATTCCAGTTCCGTGCCATCTACTTTCAGCATGGAATATACCTGATTTGACTTGAGTAACGACAAGTTTCTGCGGTAAAACTTCATGAAATGCTACTGGTTTGTTTATATTGGGTTTTTTTGCATAAACAGCGACGGTCATGAGAAGAAAACAAAATATAACAATCAAGGTAGACTTCATATTTATTATAATTTTCAAAGAAAGATTCTAAATTCTACAATAAGTGTCAAGTGTAAGTGTTGAAGAAATTATATTATTTTGATTGATGAAAAGGGAATAAATATATGCATTTATATAACATTTTTCAGAAAATCGCATCCGGAAAAAAATTCTGTTTTTGAACCACTATGACAATTGATTTTTGATGAATCTTTTTCATAAATATATTCTAAAAGAACCTTTTTTAGTAATCACAACATTCAAATGAAGTCAATGCCAATTGGTGTGCATATCTACAAGCAAAAAAACGTAAGTCGCAGGATCTCCATATTGGGTATTACATATATGATCATTTTTCCATAATAGATTACTATATTGTATAAAAAACTACCTCGGTTTAGTAACTTTTAATTAACTTTTAATTAACCTCTAAATTTAAACAAATTAAAATTTGGTAACACAGTTTTAAAGTTATATTACTTTAAAGCTATCGAAATTGATTTAAAAAGGTAGACCGTTTATAATAATTGTCATAGAGACTATTCTAATTATGTAAATGAAACTTCCTATTTAGAAATCGTCTAAAAACAATTGATTCTGTATTTGGAGAGCATATGAATTTGTCTCATGCATGCATGAGTTTTTGCAAAAAAGATGTCATATCTGAAGATCATATGAGAATGTCGATTTTAAGAATTAAACATAAACATAACCAATCGCAATATTCCAATATATATATTTTGACTAAATTTGTATTTGTTTTAATGATTTGCAATATACATACATGTAGAAACTATTTCGGCTTGGCCGAAATAGTTTCTACTTCATGTATAATTTTGAAAATCAATTGTTTATGAAAATTAAAAATCAACTATCATAATAATCCAAAATTGGTGTTTATATTAAAATGGAAGTGGAATCCGAATTTTTAGGAATTTAAGGTTAAGGTGTAAATTCATATTAAAAATTTCATCTTAAAACCTTATTAGAAAGTTTAACAGTTGTTCAGATGATCTTTAAAATGTTATATAAATGGCATAAATTCGCTTTGCGTTAATTAATTCTTTTAATAATACTTATTTTTTTTTAACCTTAAATTTAAAAATCATTACTTCACAACAAGTATAATCAATATGAAGTCAACCTTGATTGTTATATTTTCTTTGCTTTTCATGGCTGTAGCTGTTTACTCTATGCAACTTCCAGTAAAGGATATGTTTTTTTCGCCACTTGATATTACTAAAAATAAAGATGATCCAAATAAATATACAGTTCACAGTTTATGGGAAGCCTTTCATTACAATGGTAACGGTACGTATATCATAAAAAAATAAAAAAAAAATTTAGATGTAGCAGCTTACGTGGAAATTGACTAATGTTGAAATTTAGTGTCTATAATATTACTTATGTATTACTTATGTATTGATTATTCACTCTAAATTTAATCCTAAAAAAAAGCAAATTTTCAGCATCACTTTAACCATCACCTTAAACATCATTCTAAGCTACTATGAAATGTATATATTTATACTTTATAATAATAATTATGTTTGCAAAAAAAATTTTTTAGAAAAAGTTGAAGTTGCAATGGTCTGTCAAGATAATGTAAAGGTTGATAAACCCAAACAGGTAAAATGATTAATTCATCACGTTCTTTTTTATAGCCGATTTCTATACTAAAACTAATTATAAATAAATTGTAGGTAAAAAGAGTATCTGATCTCAAGGCAACCTATGTACTAACTGTTCCCAAAGGTACAAAACCCGGGACAGTATTGTCTTGTAAGAGATCTCTTTTTGGTGACACTTATGATAGATTCGCTACATTCAATTTCGTACATGAGTAATACTTGATTACAAGAAATTATTAAATGATTAATAATTATATTATCAATACCTTTTATATTTGCTTTGATCTAATTTAATCATTCTCAATGTCTAATATTTCATTTATACTGTACGGTCCCTTTAGAAAAAGGCTTTGTTGTTTTATTTAAATCGATTATATAAATGTTGTAAGTTCTTCGCATAAAAAATTATAATGGCACCTATAATAAAAGTGAAAATTTATTTTCAAAATATTATCTTAAAACATTTTGATTCAAATATTGGATCACTTTAAAGTTAATTTTTGTTTTACATTACATGAAATCCAAAACTTGGGTTTTTTGTTCTAAATAATAACTTGACTAGTTTCAATTCATGACTCATGAATTAAATTCAGAAGAGTATTCGAATTATATATCTTACTTGAGTTATTTGAGTTATTTGAGTAGTTCAAGTCACGAAATTAATTTTTGTAAATTAATTAGAATACTGTAAATTTAATAAACTCATTTTCAACTAATTCAAGAATTTCTTTGGAGTTCTGAGGCTTTTACAACTCCCACGAAAAGTAATTGGCTTTGTATGAATTTAAAAATTAATTAAATCTGATTAAATATAACTTCATTATAATTTATCGCCGTAGAGATGTATGCTGCCCAATTAAAATGCAAGACAGGTGTAACAAGAAATCGAAACAAAAAACATGGTCTTTTGATTTCAAGTTACACATGATCTTATAAGTTGCAATAAATCGCATAGGCGAAAATCTTATTTTTTTTAAAACTGTACTAAATTAAGTACAGTAAAATTTTTAAAAAAATATGAGTCTAAGATAAATTATACAAAATTTTTATTATTAAGTACTGCTAAAATTATACAGAAAGGTAATTCTAATATTCAAATATATTTTAAATTTTAAATAAATTAGTTCAATAATTAATTTAAAATAATTCTTATTGTATGTACTAAATTTAGTATAATAGCTTGATATATACCATTAAGTAAAGTGATAAGTCATTTGGGTCATTATTGCTTACAAAATTACTTTACCCATCCATGGCAATCAAGTCTCAGGATTTTGATATAAATTCGTGGGTAGTGATACGTTAAATCATAAAATCCTATAATTTTTTGCCCTAGTTAAAATGCAAAAACGCATACAGGCTAAATCGTGTGCTCACATGCCGAAAAATTTATAAACTTGAACAATTACTATGAAGAATGAAGTTAGAATAAAAAGTTTAATGACTAAACAATCAAGAATTAGTTATTGATACTAGAAAAAAAATATCAATTCCACATATTAATATAATTTGAAAGGGAAATTAAGGATTTATCATAAATGGATTTAACTCTAAAGTGTAAGAACTAATAATTGGACTCTAGACCACAAAATGCAATCATTTTTCTTGTTTATCTGATCCAATTAGAGTTAATTAGATTATATTTTATTACAAAAATCTATTTTCTAACCAGTTATATCAGGAACGAGTATATGGTTAAGTTATTTAGTTTCGTGCAGGGGGTTTTGATTATAGATACTTTTTTTACTATAAAAGCAAATGTGCGCAAAGGGGATTTGATAACGTTAGAGAGAACTACATACAGAAGGCTTTGATTAGCGTTGGAGATAATTACGTACAGGGACTTCGACTAATGTTAAAGAAAATTATGTGCAAGGGTTTTTTATTAGCATTAGAGAGAATTTTTTTATCATATATAAAGTAAATTTTTTACATTATATGTCATTCCGTAATTTGGAATCATCAATAAGTAACGTCGTACGTATAAGGATGTTATCGGCTTGGATAGGCTATTTGCTACAATTAAGACTAAAATCAATAACTATTTTTTTATAACTTTAAGTAATTTTAATTTTAGCTTAAGCTAAAGCTTTAGGCTATTGGCTTAGCTTGATTTTAGCTTAGATTCAAATTGTAGCTAAAGCTGGTTTCAAGTAAAGCCAATAACATCCCTAGATACTGACGCGGTCGAAACGGCAAGTCAGTCGCTTCTCAATAGGGTGTGTTGAGTAACCTACGAGTCGGCTAAGTCGATAAGAGGCGTGTTAGATTTGTCGAGTTTGGTATTTATGATCGTAAGCATTATAGTGTAATGAAAGCAAATTATAAGCGCGAACTGCCTGTTCTCGTAGGGCTCGAAGCCTTTATTATATATTGTTTTATTACAGATGCATTCCTAAAAGTATTAAACATATTATTCGTAATACACCTCTTTAATGTCCTATATTACTTAAAGCCCTTACCTAGTATATAATCCTTTAATTATAGATTTCACTTATTACCTTTATATCTACTAATAATTATAAACGACTTTTACGACCTCTAATCCATTTTAGAGGGTCCCTTAAAGAGGGGCAGATTTCATATATTGATCTACATACGCATAAATTGTATTCTTGACATCTAAATAACCAACTAACCCTAACTGTATCAAAAAGGTAACTCTAAATATATCAAAAGCGTAACTTTTTTCAACCCCGGCTTTAAGGATCCCCATTTTAGGTAGATGATCGACATAACCGTGAATTACGTTACTGCGCCACATTGATCATCCTTTCCACATGCTTCCGGGATCACGTTTTCACAGAACACATACCTATGTTGTTTTGGAATAGTATCAGGTATAAGTTTTTATCCAGTATACGAAATTTTTGAATGATTTAATCTGTTTTTTTTCTATTTAAACCATAGCCGGAAGTTATTAATTGCATCATTAGTTTATATTAATTAGTGGATTGTGATCGTACATCATATATTAAATACCCCAATCCGGATTAATAATAAAACCGGATTAATCCGGGTTTAAAATATCCGGATTAAGGTATTAACTTTAATATGTACCGTCGATCGATTAATCTGGATTTAAAATATATATCCGGATTGTGGTAAAGCATTAATTCTAATTTGGTATATGATGTACGATCTCACAGTCGATCAATTAATCCGAATTTAAAAAATAGATCCATATTCAGATATTAATTCTACAATTAATCCGGATTTAAAAATATCCGGTGTTACAACTTGGGAAAGCTTTTCACTTGTGTCCAATTTAGCACAGTATCGTTAACATTAAAATTTGAACGATTATTATTCAAAGGTGAGCGAAAGTACAACGGTTAATAGGCTAGTCTTTATTTGTAATACAAGAAAAGCGAAACCCAAATATGTAAAATGAACAAGAAAAGGTTTTTTTATTTAGTGCAAAATAGGAAATATCGTGCGTTTGTACGATTGTTTCAAGAAGGGGATCTTATTCCCAAAACTGATCATTAACTCTTTTTATTAGACTCAAACTAGCTGTTATGTAAAATTGAGATCATCGATTTTTAGCTTGAAAAATGTCGTAATTGTATAAATCATAATGTTCATCATTATATAATTTCAAAATGATTTACCTATTATGTATTTAATTTCGTAACATCGGATTTAAATTCGAATTAATATCCGGAATTTATTATATCCAGATATATAAATCTGGATTGAGGTGTTAACTCTAATTCATTATATATTAATGTTAATATATAATTAATCATTTATAAAAAATAAAATAAAAATTCGCTAATACAAAATAGAGTTAAGAACCTATTATAAACCTCTAAGGGGATTAAAGAAATAAATTAGTCTTGTATCCATATACAATATCCCAACTTTGATTGGATATAATAATTATCGAATGACTCTCATGACATAACTAGTGATGTGCCGCGTACAGTACTATACGTACTGTACGTACTGTACGCGAGAATTTTTGCCGATCATTTTATATGTAGTCTGTTTTATATATCATTAGCCAATCAAAATTAAAGATTTTGCTATACCAGGAACAGAGTGAAACGAAGTGTATGGTTAGGCGAGACCAACTGGATTCTGTGTTTTACATTCCCCCCCCCCCCCCTCACTCTCAGCGTTCCCCCCTCTCCATCGTAGTAAAAAAATTTAGATAAATATACATAGGGCTACGGGCTATTTCGGAAAATTTTTATATAGTCATGGAACAATTCGGAAACTTTTTTTTTGAAAAAAATTTTTTTAAAAATTTTACTATGTAAACCGCAAATTCTCCCCCCCCCCCCTCTTCTGTAGGGGAGAGGGGGGTAATGTAAAACACAGAATCAAGTTGGTCTGGCCTTATATGGAGAGTGAAATAATGTGTACTTCTAATTGGATATAGTTCTAAATAGTATGACATCTTGATTTATATTTCATTTATCTGGCATATGTTATATCTGCAGACTTTATTTGGTTAATTCTTTTGTATTACTTATGTGTAAAAGTTTCTTATTATTTTAATAAACTATCTTGTGTCATAATTAATAAAGGGACCGTTGAACAATTTTTTTTTAAGTAATCAATAATTTATTATGAAATTATTGATTACTTTTAATTAGTTTTATTGGTCTTAAATATTTTTTATAGTTCTGTACAGTTTCTTCAATAAAATAAAAATTATTCTGCTTATTCCAATTCAATAATTATATTAATATTGCAGTTACAAGTTATACATATTGATTGCTTTAATTTCTTCAAAATACTCTAATTAACTTATAGTTTTTTTTTTTATGTTACAAGAGAAAACAAAGTTTAGAATTCATCTATTAAACTAAATATTTTAAAGTCTAACTTATGACATATACATTGTAATAAAGAATGTAATTCAAAATACAATATATAATCTTAATTATAAATCATAATTAGTTAATGATGATTAGTTATTAACCATCAGTTCTAGCTGCAATCAGCTTATAAGTAATACCTAACTATAACCAACTATTGATAATTATACCTTTGTAATTGTAATTATATTTCAGTTCCAACTGCTGTACTAATTATACAAATGAAGATTTAACTTAACTGAATATATAATGTTAATACATATTCCAATAGTTATATTATTAATAATTGAATCCTTAGAATTATAAAAGCTTGATATTATATTTTAAAACAAAGTTAGAGCTTATAATAATCATCTTTAAGACATGATAATTAGAACAAATAAA